TCCTAACTGATCCAGTCTGTCCCTGTATGTCAGACCCACCATTCTGGGAATTGGTCTGGTAAATCTTTGAACTCCCTCATTAAGCAGCACATCCTTCCTCAGATTAGGAGTGCAAGACTGCGCACAATACCCTAAGTGTGGTGTTACCAATGCTGTGCACAATTGCAGTAAGACACCCTGCTCCCGTATTTAAATCCTCAGGCTATGAAAGCCAACGTACCATTTGCCTTCTTCACATGCTTACCTTCAGTGACTGGTGTACAAGGATACTGAAGTCTCAATGCACTTCCCTTTTTCCTGATATATCCCCGTTCCAATAATAATCTGCCTGTCAGTTTTTGCTACCAAAGTAGATAACCTCACATTTATCCACATGGTATTACATCTACCATGTATTTGCCCATTCACTGAACTTATTCAAATCACACTGAAGCTTCTCTGCATCCTCTCCTAGTCTCCTACCCAGATTTGTGTCATCTACACACTGAGATATGACACACAGTTTCCTCAACTAAATCAATATTAATATATATTGTTAGTAGCTGGGGTCCAAGCTCTGATCCCTGCAGTGCCTAAATATTTACTGCCATCCACTCAGAATAAGACCTGTTTATTCCTGCTCTTTGTTTCCTGTTTTTCCAACCAATTCTCAATCCATTTCAGTATATGATCTCCAATCTCAATAATTTTGCATGCTAATCTTTTATGTTGGGACTCTTATTGAAAGCCTTCTAAAAATCCAAGTAAACCACATCTATTGGCTCCCCTGTATCCGCTCCAATAGTTACAGCCTCAAAAGCATTCCAACAGTTTCATAAAACTTTTTATAAATCTTTGTAAATCCATGCTGACTCTGTCCGATCCTGTTGCTATCTTTCAAATGGTGCGTTATTACATTTTTCATAATAGACTCTAGCATTTTCCTATTGTTGATGTCAAGCCAACCGTTCTATAATTCACTGCCTCCCTTCTTTAAATGATGGGATTCTATTACCTACCCTCCAATACATAGAAACTGTTCCAGTCTATAGAGTTTTGGAAGATGACCACAAGCACATCTGCTACTTCTGTTCCTCCTAGGTTCCATGTTAATTGACATCCTTAATGGCCATCTACCCTCTGGCACCATCTCTCACTGGAAACAAAACCATCATCACAATGTCTCCAACACCCTCTGTTTTTTAAAAAAAAGTCAACCCATCTATCTTAGAGATGGTGATAGAGTAGCAGCGCAGTGTGCGGGCTCCTGCCTGGACCTCATTCTGCTCTGACCACTTTTACTTTTTCTTCTTTGTCTTTTTCTTTTTTTTTCTTACTTTAATCTTACCTCCTGTGGAAGCTCAGACGGCTTAAGGTGTCTAGCACATCTGATGCAGGTTTCTCCTCGGCAGCGGAGGGAGTCGAGTTTGTGCTCCCGGCAGCGATGGTGGAGGAGGGAGGCAGCTTTGGGCTCAGTGCCTGGTGTGGGACCCAGCTTCAGTGGTGGCTGCGTTGCCGAGATCAGCCCAGCGAGGACTCATTGGTAGAAGCAAGATGGTGATGGGCAGTGTGACGAAGGGACTGAAGGCTGACCAGCTGCTTCCTGCTGGTGTTAGTCTCTGTGCTGGAGTGGAAGGACCAGATCCAGGCCCATGGCTAAGTACTTAAGAAGGGCTGTAATATTGAACTTTTAACTTTTTTTCCTAATTTATAGCTAAGATTTTATATCAAGGTACCTTTGTACCTTAGACGACACCAGAATATACAGGTAAGCAATCAGACAATTCCAAAGATGAGCTTTTATTGTCGGAAAACGAACAAAATTAATAGAGGCTGCAGTTCACTCCACACTGCAAGGTAAATGCAGGCACGATGACCAACAACTACTTACCATTCCATCTGCTGTACCTTGCTGTCATCTACTGGAAGCACTTGTCAATCAGGTCCTGTCTGGCTTGTGGCATCCAACACCAGAGCTCAGTCATGCACAAAGAGAGCATCATTCTCCCCATTTTCCTCATCTTCATCCTTGGACTGCTCCGATTCTCTCCGTTCCCCAGCATCTGTCACATCATCTCATTGCCAACTCCACTTTGTGCTTGAGGTCGTAAGTCATAGGCTTTGTCCCCTGAAACCAGCTTTTAATCTGGACCCTCAAAAGCAGCAGGTACATGGGTCCTCATAGATCCTCTGGACATGTATGGAATGGAAATCCTTCCTATTGATGAATTATGCAATGTTGTGATATGGCTTTGTAAGTGCCATGTGTACAGTCAGTGGCACTCTGCCCTGGGGGAAGCCAACAATGTTTGCAAGTCCTACTGTCTGGATTGCAAAAAGTGTGATCTTCCATAGATGGCATTGGTCATTAGGTAAATGTGTTTGTGGATGCACAGTTGAGGGATCTCGCACTGTTCTCCTATCACTCAATGGAAAGAGCCAGTTGCTTAGGAATTCAATGCATCTATCACATTAACAGCCCCCAGAAAAAGATGACCTCGCACTCCTGCAGCCCTCCAGTCTCACTGGATCATTTGGCTTCATTCCATCACAGTAGCTTGGATCATACGGAGCCTGTGTCGATACTGCAACTTGCTAATCCACAGGAAATAGAGAAGGGGCAGAAAAAGCTGGTCCCTGTAAGCCCCATTCATTCTGAGGGCACCTGTGGCTGTAACCTCTGCCTGCCTGAGGGCTGCTCAATCTCCATGGCGGCTTTCTCTAGCCCCTTGGCTTGCCATCAGCCCTGCTCCTCCTGCGTCCGTCCACGCTGCCTTAGCAAGGCTGCCACAGCAACCAACATTCCACCAGCAGCTGTGTGTAAATCTTTTATTTTCTCAGATTGCATTTACTTCTTTTGTAAATTTATTTTATATCTGTCTCCTCTTATTTTTGATCCGACTCCAAGTGGGAATAGATTTTCCCTGTCTACTGAAAGTCATCATAGTTCCAGAAGGCCAAAGGGCTGCACTCCATTAGAGAGAGGCAGCTGGTGGTGCTTACCTAAGGGTTGCCATGCTTCAGGTGAGGATGAAGTTTGGAGGCTGGGACCTTCATGCTAACGTCAGCCAGTACAGGAATTGAAGCCCCACTGTTAGCACCAATCTGCATTGCAAACCAGCCATCCAGCCAGCTGAGCTAACCAACCCCACCACCCCCAATCTACTCAGGTTGTGGGGTTTGAAGGAGATTAGAGATATGGAGGAGCAAGACCATTGCTTTGAAAACTTGGCTGGGAACTTTTAAAATTAAGATTGTTTAATTGGAAGCCAGTGTACGTCAGTGAGTGCAGAGCAATAGGGGACTGCAACTTGCTCTGAGCTAAGACACTGGCAACAGGGTTTTGAACAACCAAGTTTATGGAGGATAGAATGTGGGAGACCAGCCAGATGTGCATTGGAATAGATGTCTGTAAGTAACGAAGGCATAGATCAAGGTTTCAGCAGCAGATGAACTGAGACCAGGGCAAAGTCTACCAAACTGACACAGTTAGTATGAAGTGGTCTTGGTATTGGCATGATTGAGGTTGGGATCAAGTGTGATACCAGACCTGTGAATAACACTAATCTCTGACTATTGCCAGGCAGCATGATAGAGTTGATAGCTAAAGAATGAAGCTTGTTGGGGGAACCGAAAACCATAGCTTCATTCTGCCAAACATTTATTTAGAAGAAATTTCTGCTCATCTAGTACTGGATATTGGGTAAGCAATTTAGATTATTTAGCAATTCATGGACAAAATTACTCAGCCCCATCATGAGTTGGAATGGAAGAGAAACAAAAAGGTACAAGTTCAGGGCAAGGTGGTGCAGACCCTTGGAAAATGTTTGGTTTGGGGATTAGGTCAAGGGAAGGAGGTGGCATAGGCTGCTGATCAGATGGTCCCAATCTTGGCATTAAAGAAACTCTCAAGCTCCTTGCATATTTGTTTGGAGAAGAGGCTGCAGGGGACAGAGGAAAGGGGTTTTACAGACAGGTTACAGAACAGAAAAGAAGCTGGGGGGTTACCTTCGCAATCTAGGCTGATTGTGGAGTTGTAATCATTATTGTCTCCCACGTTTGTACAGACAGAAGCAGGTGCCATTATTACCTTATGTGGTCATGCTGGACCTGGCGATGAATGGCTAAGCTAGTTGCAGACTATTTTCTTCAGAGCCTGCATATGTTGGACATGAGGGATTGAAGATGAGGGCCATACCAGGGGCAGAAGTCAGAGCAAGGAAGAATAATGGTTTTAGTGGGGAAGAAGTCATTTAAAGTGGAGGTAAGGGTGGTGTTGAGTGGAATAATAGCTGCAGAAATGTGAACAGAAGACCAAAGGATAGACAATAAGATTTTAAGAGTATGGGTGTAAGTGAATTCGACAATTTGTGGTGGTAAGACTTGTGCCAAGAGTTGTGTAGACTGATAATTAACAAAAGCCCTATCTTTCCCTGTGTCTGCATGGTTTTCCTCCGGGTGCTTCGGTTTCCTCCCACAGGCCAAAGATGTGCAGGTTAGGTGGATTGGCCATGCTAAATTGCCTGTAGTGTTCAGGGATGTGTAGATTAGGGGGATAGATCTGGGTGGGATGCTCTTTGTGTCGGTGTGGACTTGTTGGGCCGAAGGGCTTGTTTCCACACTGTAGGGATTCTATGATTCTATGATTACTAGATATAAATTATAAGCAGTTTTTTTCTGCAGTGTAATGTCACAAATTTCTTTATGCTGAGGAGATGAAATTTGTGCATGTCATATGACAAAATTACAGAGCATAAGTAAGCTATAGTGATGCCACCCTGCAAGTCAGCAAGCTAAGCACAGATGTGCTGGATGGCTACCGCTTGTGTTGTAACTTTCTATGATTTTATGTGTTAAGTGAGTCACTGGTGTATTATTCGCTAAGACGGGCAGTTTTTACCTTTTTTCTCCAAGGATAGCTGGCAGTATTATGACAGATTGACAGGGGTTTGACAAGCCCACAGCATCATGGAGTGATTATACTCTCTGAGCTTCACTGTATGACACCACATTAGTTTCATTTTAGCATACCACCCACTTTTTTTTTTAATCAACCTGTTCAGAGACATTATTACACACATTTGGAACAGATAGGACTTCAACCTGGGCCTCCTGGCACATGGGTAGGGACACTACCATTGCGCCATGAGAGCCCATGCCCAACTTTCTATCTTGTAAGAGACATCTTGGGGTAGCTGAAACCAGTAGCTACCCATTGCACACTTGCAAGCTGCTTAGCAGGGTTTATGCAAAACACATTTTGTGTTAATAGGTTGGCACTTTAGAACACTTTTTCTGTTGTGTGATTTTTTTTTTGTCAGTCAATGGGGTGTCATTGTAGCCCTAGGAGTGTCAAATCCAGTAATGTTAGTGAAAGAAATGTTGGGGTGGAAATATTTTTAATGTCTATTTTAGGGTTTATAGTAAAACCTGTTTCTAGCTCATGCTGAAACTGGGAAACCTGAGGAAGTTAGACGTCAAAACTGATTTCACTAAGAGGCAATGTACCCCCGTGGCCTGATTCAGTATGATTACTTGTGTTATTGACAGCAACCATCAAGAATGCTGTAGAACCAGGCAGATAAGTACTGAAAAGATACTTACTTTTTAGTGGCAGCCATTTGTTAGACAACCTGAGGAAAATACTGCTGATTTATGATTTCTGTAATATGTTTCGGGGGCCTGATCTCAGTTTAACTTGAAAATTTTCCTGGGGTAGTGGGGAGTACAAATATGAAATTAGTTCTAATTTTCACCCAGTAATAAAAGGTCGTGGCAAAGGACTATTTCTGCCCTAGCATGTTGGTGTAAATTTTAAATAGTAAAGTGCTCGCCAGGTTGTAGTTCGTGCAAGTAGAAGATTAGCATTGGCTGCCACTGTTGGAGATTATATGAAGAACTCTGATGAGAAAGGTATGAAAGGCCACATTCTGACCATCAATTAATTAATTGATCCTGCTATGGATTTACTTTGAAAACTTTTCTCTGGTTAGTTACCCAGTAATTTGACTCTTGACTTTTTCCAAAGATACCACTTATTTGGTTTCCCCCCGCCCCCCACCACCTGCCCTCCTTTTTATTGTGCTGAATATCTAAGTAATATAATATTCTTAGTTACATTGGGCTTTAGCTTTGATCAAAGAGAATAAAATGCAGTTATAAATATTGAATGAGACAATCGATTTTTTTTTTTAATGCTATTAAACTATTCTCTACTAAGCTTATCAGAACATTGACTGACAAAAATGGCATAGCATCATGGGAAATATGTTCATTATGCGATTAGCTGCTAATTGTTTTTTTTTTCACTTTATTTTGTAAATCTATTTGCTAATCTTGTCCCAGACACGATTTGATTATTTGGTTACAATGCCAGTGTTTCCCAAGCTTTTCCCCTTGTGACCCCATTTTGAGATTGGAACGTTTTGGCAACTTCTCAGTGAGCAACTGTGAGTGCAAGGAATTAGTGAGAATACTGCTGTTCTAACACTGTCCGAGGTCCACAGTGGTCATAACTAGCTCCAAACTCATGACTCCACTTGGGCTACAACCCACATTTTTAGAAGCCTCACACTGTGGGACGAGTATGGTCTGATTTTGTGTAGATCTTTAGATTTCTCTACATTCTCTAACTTCTGGACAAGTATTGCTTTCTCGTCTCCTCTGATGATGCCTGAATTAGGAAAGAACAAATAATGCATTGCGAAGCAATTTATTTGTTTATCTTTTAGTTCCAACTGTAATTTATTTTTTGTTTTTATTTTTTTTGTTTTATTTTATTTTAACTCGCAAATTGATTGTGTGTTTCTTTCTGTCCCTTTCATCTTCCTACAAATCTTAACTTTTTTTCATATTAATATAACTCCACGTTAGTTAGCTGCAGCTTTTAGGACTTTTTTAAACATAAATTTAACTTGTGTAAGAGTCTTTTTACACAAATATTATCTAATAAATTTGTAAATTCATGATTGTTGCTACTTATTTTACATTCGACTGTCCAAATTTTTATTTAATTAATGCGGAGGTGCATATTGGTTTATATATAACTTATTCTAATCCTGTCAAATTCTCAACAAATCTTTCAGTCGGATGATATTGTTTTAACTTTTTTTTTCTGGAGGTGGGAAATTTTATGCTTATTGTGTTGCGGGCAGAAATTTAGTATTTGTGTTCAGAATCTGCAGAGAACACTTATGTTAATTATTCCAAAGATAGATGTAGAATAAGTTTACTTCTGCCAGTAGTACCTTTCCTTATAAATCTGATATTGGGTAGTTATTTCTAACCTTTGTAGCTGATGAATCTATGTATTTTTTTTTTGTCTGTCTTTACTTCTCTGTCAATTGCTTTTGAAAGCCTTTTTTTAAAAACTGGTTCTTCCTACATCTCTCACTTTTGCTTGTCATTGCTGTTCTTCACTTTCAGAGTTTTTTTTAAATTATGTACTATCTTGACTCTTGTTTGTTTAAAAAGCTGTGACTGAAATAATTTGGGAAGCTCATGAATGTCTTTGAATGTTGCAGGCAATGATGAAGTAGATTGTAATGAAAGCTGTGGCAAAATTGGAACATTAAGGAATCATAATGCAAATTATTGGGACAGCAACTTTTGTAAAGGTTCATGACATGAGATCAATACACAAGCAAAGAACTTTGCTGGATAATAGGTTGGAATGAGCAGGTATAAGATCAGGCCACCTGCACATAGGTCTGCTTATATCTGAGAAGTGAAAAGATTCCTTAATGTTCTAGGCAAAGAACATTTGGTGGAGAAGTGTTGGAAGTAATTGTGCACTTACTAAGTAGAGTTTCCTTTTCCGT